AACAAAGAAATGGACAGATAGTTTTGGATTCTGAATGTCTGATGTGCTGGGGCCTACATGCTCCAAATCTACTGTGATTCTTGAATAGGCCCCAACAAACAATCAACAGTAACGTTGGTACAGTGAAGAGCAACTCTGTCTATGGGAGCTGAGGGAGCTTAACGCCTCAGAGCATGAATAGTTTTCTTCAATAAAAATATGTGGCTTATAAAAGGAAAAACATTTTATATTCTGGGCTATGCAGTCAGCATAAATCCTGCTTGTGATGGCTGGTGCTCACTGGAGGCATCACCTAGTGGATAGGTGGTCAGACCTTTAGTTGCCACATCTCTACTCTTTCCCCCAGACCACCTCCATGCCTGGTGTCAGTCTGTCTTCTCTTTGTTTGGGCTGGAATTTCTAGGGTTACCATCCGTCCGGGTTTCCCCGCACATGTCCGGCTTTTGGGTCTTTAAATAGCCGTCCGGGGGGAATTTGTAAAAAGCTAAAAATGTCTGGGATTTCCCCCCGGACGGCTATCTAAAGACCCAAAAGCGGCTGACAGGGCAGCCGCGCCGGATTGAGCCGCTCACTTGGGGCCGCTCTGGCAGCAAAACCCCCCCCCCCCCCCCGCTTCCCTCTCCCTCCCCTGCAGCTTCAGCACACGGGTAGCAAAACGGGAGCAGGAGCTGTTTGTGCCGCTACAAGGCTTAGATAAGGGGTGGGGTCCCGGGGGGTGATTAGGGGCAGGGGTCCCGGGAAGGGGCGATCAGGGGACAAGGAGCAGGGAGGGTTGGATGGGTTGGGGGTTCTGTGGGGGGCAGTCAGGGGGGCGGGAATTGGGAGGGAGTGGCTAGGGGGCGGGGCTACACTCCCCCCCCCCCCCCGGAGTGTCCTCTTTTTTGAAAGTTCAAATATGGTAACCCTAGAATTGACCCTGGAGTCACAACAATATGATTATATAGATTGGTATTTAATATGGCCCTGCCTCAGTGATCTGCACCGAGGCCTACTCATCTTTAATGTGCATCTTTAATGTGGCCTATTCAATGATCTGCTCTGAGGCAGATACACATTTTTGAGGAAGACTTGTTCCTTAGCTGGAGCAATTGTCATGTCTAGAATGTGCTTTTCAGTCTGTCTTTTGCTTCAGACCTTGTTTTATAATTCCACATTGTGAATGCAAATTTTAAAAATGCGTTAATTAAAAAATAGAATATTTTCAAATACTACACAGAAAGAATGATGGAATATAATCCTGGATCTCAAAAGTCCTCCTGTTTTTGCCCAAATCTCCGAAGAATAGACTCTAAGAGATTTTTCCAGTAATCGATGCACACATTGACCCAGGAAATAGACTCAAAAGCTATAGTTTTGTTCAGTTTAACATAGTATGTTTACTTTCCCCCAAAACTTAATTGATTGCTTTGATGTACTTTTAAACCATAATACAATATGACCTAACAGTAAATACAGCCAAATCGACCTGTTTGAAACAGTTTATGCTTCAAAGTAAAAATAGTTTGACCAGAATCATTACAGCTTTTCTCAAAAGTGATTGTACTGGTGCTTACTGAAGGAAGTTATGTTTGGAAATGAGAACTGAGAGGATACAGTACAAGATGAATAGCCCTGAGACCAAGGTGGTTCCATCTGTAGTAAAAATGTGTGGAAAAGGTAAAGATTTGCAGAATTCTGCTGCAAAAGTGGGATGTACAAGTTAACAATTATCAGGACATTAAGTCACAAGAAAAATCTATATAACAAGATTCCAAGAATGTCACTCAGTGTGTTGCTCTGAAACCTGTTATGTCTATCAAGTCAGTGTAAAATGATGGAAGCAGCTACAAGCATTTTTGTTCACAATATCACCAGGTTCAATCACCACCAGGATTCATGGTCTGTTAGCATCAAATTTTCAAGTTCTCAGCCATTTTGACTTAACAAATTACACCCTTGTGGTGTACAGCTACAGTTAGGCATGAATCTATGACATGCCAAGAGTCTTAGACCATTGTGATATCAGAGGTAACTCAACCAATCGCCACCCTTCCTCTACAGTTAATTTGCATGCAACAGTTTCATTGGTTGTATGAGGGAGACTGCACAGATGGTGGATTACATGGTCCAAAAGCCACACGTGTGTGTCCAACTGCCATGTGCACAATCCAACACAAATCTACCTACACAGCCTTCTGCCAGACACAAATCAATGCAATCATTCACACAACACAACCAGCATACACAGTAATTCCAAACACACATAGCCCCTCACTGCAGCACATACCCGTCATTTGCCACCTGCACAAATCTACACAACTTTCCCTGCACAGCAACATAATCAGCACACACAATAACCCCAAACATCACTCTGAAGCCTAAAATGTGTTTTGGGTCAGTGTGAAGCTATGGAAAGAACTACACATGGTTGAGAATATCACCAGGTTCAATCATCACTGGGATTCACAGTCTGTTACTGTCCAATTTTTAAGTTCTCAGCCCTTTTGAGTTTGACACACTGACTTTACTAATTACACCTGGGCTGCAGCATGGGATTTTAATTACTGCCAGTGTGTAAATCGAAACAACCAATTAAAAAGTCAAAATCCATGTATATGGGACTGTCATATCTTGATGAAAAATGCATAGCTCTGTCTTGCTTCAAATATGGCAGTATCTGGGCCGGCACAAATGTAAATGTCAGTGAGATTATTTATTTATTTATTTATTTATTTTTAATCCTTCGGAGTCTGACTGTCTGAGCCAAGTCCACTCACTCCCTGTATTGTTAGAAATCCACTGAAACTGTTTCATCCCATGCTGGCACACTGATTTCTGCAGGCAGACAATTATTGCTCCCAATTATTGCTTTCTGTAGTAAGGTATGCTATTTGTCTAGGATACAGGGTGTTGTAGTTTGGCTTTTCACTGACTTCCTGTGTTCTGATAGACCACACCAACATTTGTGGGCTTTATGGATATTTTCTGGGTCTCATGTTTGGGACCATTTTTGTATTGTATGTCAGTGTGGCTGCTCCCAGTAGGCTTAGCTTTGCGCTACTACTGCTAATAAGAGAGACCTGGAGACCTCTGCAAATAACAGTACCATTATTAGTGCATCAGACCCAGAATGCACAATTCAAAAATTCGGTGGGTGTAAGAAATCAGAGAGGTGCGGCTCATAGGTTCTATCATGACTCTAAGAGCTAGAGTCATGTTACGGACAGTAGAAGGAGGTAAATCACTGGAGTAGTATTAGCCAGAGGCAGCAGACATCAGATGTAGGGTCTAATTTTAAGAGGTGCAGAACACCCAGAACACCAGATGTAGTCAATGGGAGCTGCAGGTGCTCAGCGTATAAGAAAATCAGGCTCCGAATGCCTGTGTGTATATGGGGAATAGGGGAGAGTGAGCTCCACAGTGGCCCTTGCTAGACCATAGCTCTGCAGCTGCTTACGAGCACACAGAGGAGTGGGAAAATCAGGCCATAGCCAAGGCCTCAGTCATGCCTGCTCTGAGGCAGACAGCGCTTCCAGCCTCACTGGTGTCCCCTCCTTGCTGGGTGCTGCGTGGGATCACTGTGCGTGGGAAAGACTGTGCATTAAGCCTGTGGCTAATGCATAAGCCCCGTTCAGAAAATATACCTCATATTTAATGCTCTTTCCCATCTTTTCTTAGAATATATTTCTAGACTGTGGGACAGATCCTCAGCTGGTATAGAATTATAGAATTATAGAAATGTAGGACTGGAAGGGACCTCGATAGATCATCTAGTCCAGTCCCCTGCACTGAGGCAGGACTTAATATTATCAAAACCATCCCTGACAAGTGTTTGTCTAATCTGTTCTTAAAAACCTCCCATGACAGAGATTCCACACCCTCCCTAGGTAATTTGTTCCAGTGCTCAACTACCCTTACACTTACGAAGTTTTAATCTAAATTTCCCTTGCTCCAATTTAAGCCTATTACTTCTTGTCCTGTCCTCAGTGGATAAGGAAAACAATTTATCACCCTCCAATCTGTAACATTTAAATATTTGAAGACTCTTATGTCTCCCCTCAGTCTTTTCCAGAGTAAACAAACCCACTTTTTTCCTTGTAGGTCATGCTTGCAAGACCTTTAATCGTTTTTGTTGCTCTCAGGTGTAGCTTCCTTGAAGTCAATGGAGCTACTCTGATTTATAGCACCCGAGGATCTGGCTCCAACTTCAGAAAGACACTGTTGACTATTTCGAAGGCTATATAATACTTAGTACTTATATGTCACTTCATTCTCCTTTACAAACATTGAATTAATCCTCACAACATCCTTGTGAGGCAGATCAGTAAATGTTATCTTCTTTGGACAGCTGAGGAAACTGAGCTACAGAGAGTCCAAATTTTTCAAACTTGGGTGCCTAAAGGTAAGGCACCTAAACTAAGGCTACATCTATGCTATAAGCTAGCAGATTGATTCCCAGTTCACGCAGACATACTCGCGCAAGCTCTCATCAAGCCGGCGAACTAAAAATACTAGTGTAGCCGCGGTAGCACAGGTTCAGGCAGGTTTGTGCACGTGGCAGCCAGCCCATGCTACCCTCGCTGCCCGTGCTACCATGGCTATACTATTGTTTTTTAGCGTGCTAGCGCAATGAGAGCTAGCACGAGTATGTCTGCACGAGCTGGGAATCACTCCCCTAGCTCACAGATAAATGTAGCCACGGTGCCCTGATTTTTAGAGGTGCTGAGCAGCCGCAATTGCAGCTGGAATCAATGGATGCCGAGAGTACTCAGCACCTCTAATAATTAGGCTACTTATTTGAATGCCTAAGGTTAGGTATCCGCAATTGAAAAATTTAACTAAGGGGCAAATTCTGCTTTGGTCTCTGTGGAGGGTCCTTGGCAGGGTGGTTCGTGGCACAGGGCGGGCAGGCTACAAGAGGCTGTACAGCGTCCTTCATCCATTCTGTAGCAGAGTTTGATGTACATAAAGGCTGCTCTGCTTTTATACGTAGTACTGAACATTGACGTCTTCTATTGCAGGCCAAGCTTTCGTCCATCCATATGACAAGACTTCATGCATCTACCAAAACCCCATCTTCAGGCCACTTGAGGGGCTGCAAGGAATTTCAAGAGGGTCAAGATGTTAAATGCCATTGTCACACAAAGGCATGCAAAATATCCTCACCAGATGGCTCGGGATCAACAAGTAGATCAAACTCGATCCAGGAATTTTCAGAATCCTTTGAGAAGCAACTGCATTTCAAAATCAAGCGCTCCGTTTCTTTGGTAGGTAACCACCATTACGGGTGCTTAGTCCACATAAGAAACAATGAGCCAAATTCATCCCATTGACTTCAATGGGGATATACCAAGGATGCATTTGGATTAGTCTCTTAAATGAGGCAGTTTGTACAGTAGCACAAACAGGCTTAGTTTGATAATATATTATTAGCCTGAACACCCTTAATGTCGTGCCATTCTCTATACCAGTTGCTGGTGGGATTCCAAAATAAGGCAACTAGCTAGCCTGGACTGACCGTGGTGGTAAGATGTTTTAAATGGATTCTCCAGCTGTGCCAATGAAGTGTTACAATATTAAAATTGTGCTGCTTTTTATAGCTGGACAGGTAGCTGCTCACCTTAGCCCTCTTTCCCGTTGCTACTGACCTGTTTAACCATATAGAGTGTTACTCGTAAGATGGCCCCTGAAGCATAGGCATTTTACTATATTTTCTATTTGCCTTGATGACACAACCAGTTACAATAGTTTCTGTCTTATAGTTCAGTTTCCTAGGATTTAACACATATTCTCCCGTCTTAACTATTCATAAAAATGGAGAGAGAATAATACATTTTAGCATTTTTTATTTCAAGGCCTTTCATAAAAGGAACACAGTCAACTTGAATCACACTGCCTGAAAAGGTTTTACTTATTGTTGCCAGTGAAACTTAAGATTACTAGAACTGAATAAACAGAGGGGGAAATATTTCTCTCTCGTTTTCCAATTTGTTTTCTTTGCATTTAACAATACTTTGTGTGTAGTCATTTTCAGCTGTTTGTGTGAGTCTTTCATACAGCAGTATGGGAGAGAAAATCTTTACAAAAAGAAGATGTGATTGTAAAACCACAAAAAAATCGATAGATGGACTCTGGAGCAGATCCAAAACCTGAAATGACTTTTAACTCTTGTTATTTTTTGTTTTGCTAGATTTCAAGTTGACTCTGGTCCAGCAAGGCATTTGAGCAGGTGTCTTAAGCATGAGATTTCAATAGGACTACTCCCATTCATTACATTCAGTGGGCCCACTCACATGCTTCAGGGATAGGCACCAGCTTATATAAGTTGCTGAATTCAGCTCCAAAGAGACGAGATTGGCTACCCTATCTCTTTCATAGACAAAAGCTATTTTAAAAGCAGTGATTAAATTTTCAAGTTGTGAACTCTTAGGGTCAGATCCTCATCTGGCATTAATTTGCAAAGCTCCATTAAAGTAAATTTGGCCACACTGGTTTACACCAGCTGATCTGTAGTTTTTAAAAGTGGTAAAATATCCTTTAATTTGATGACTTAATATAAAGTGGAGTATGGTACATGGAGAAGAAAGGGCTGGCAGTTGGGAACAGATTCTGACTGGCTTTGAGTGGTGGGACAGAGAGGAGAGATATGTCATAAATGTCCTTCACTTTGCTTGTGCTCCCGGGCAGGAACCAGCCACAAAATCACAGTCCTTCGACTCCCTGAACACAAGGACTGCTCCAGGCTCACGAAGATGACAATTATCATGAGGATGATAATTACAGCGTATAAGACTATTGTTATAACTTTATGTGCACCTTTGTAACCTCTTTTTCCCCTTTAGGGACTGCTGAGCTCAGAATTTATTTCATTTAGGACCTTGCACTGTCCCTTTTGCTTTTCTCCACATAACTATTCTGGTTTATTTATTGTTTGCAAGAGTTGCCTATGGCTAGATAGTCTGTAAGTGCACAATACGGTTTGGATAAATGTACTGCATATAATACACAAAGTTCTCACTTCTGACTGTACTTTAGAAGGAAACCAGAATGTGTGTAGATAACATTAGTGTTTCCCTGGGGTGTAACTGGGGTATACTTCGGTTCATCTTTCAGGCAGCCTGATCCTTCAAGGTGCTGCTTACGTTCAAAGCCCCTTGAAGCCAATGCAAGTTGAAGGTGTTCAGCACCTTCCAGTATTGGACGTTAGCTGTCAAAAATATGAGAGAGAATTTGAGAGTACACTTGAACTTGGATTTCAAGTTTAGCCATGAGAATTCCTATTTCTTTGAACACTATAAAAGTCCTTGAGGTGGCATTCAATCCATCCTTTACACTGCAACACAGGAAAGATACATGGGGAAGAGGCAATCCTATTCAACCTCATTCTTAGTGTATTGCTTCCCTCTTGAAATTTGCACTGATGACAGCTAATAACCTTCAGCACCTGTGTTTGGGGAGGTCTTCAGAACCAACAGAGAACATCATCAAGGCATGTGGAGGCTTCATTACAACCTGGATCAAGTGAGAGAGTAGCAAGACAGAGGCTGGTCTGAAATCCCAGGGCTCCTCCTCCCTCATGGCCTTTCAGATGGGTGATCCCACCTGTAGGTGTGCAGCATACCGAGGTTATAGGGGAACACATGTTGCACCCTGCTGGGTTTTAGGGTGACTACTCTGGGGCCATGAGTTTGAGACACTCATGTTAATGCTGATTTGGCACAGGTAGGTGACCAGCATTTTTATAATATATTTTTGATGAAATAAATTATGAGCTTTTGTCACTCTTTTGGGGATTTGTTTCTAATTTTCTCCATTCTATTTTCCTTTCAGCAACCTGAGGGCATGAAGGAGAGGAGAGAGCGAGGGAGGATGTGCATGTCCAAGAGCAGATCTCACAAGAAAGAGGGAGGGAAGAGGGAGCCAAAGAAAGAGCAGGAGGAAGAAGAAATACCAGAGATTTCTGCTGGAAAACAAAGCTAATAGCTTCCATCCTCAGGAGGCATTAAAAAGAGAGATTTCTGCATAAAAGGTTACAGTGTATTGGAGCCATTTACTGAAAGAGTAAAGTGAGTTTTGTTGTTTTGTTTTGATTAGATGGAAGAGGCCAGTTAGCTAAAGTAAAGTAAACCCTAATTTTTAAAATAAAATGATTACAGTGATACTTTTGAAGCTGTGTTTCTATTGTCCTCTTTTTACTTTCTCCATTATAAGCGTGACACTTGCTTTAAGGAGAGTGCGTGCCTAGTTGGAGCAAGGTTTAAGTGAGCCCTGCATCATTTTAATCTGGATTTCAGTCAGATTTAGATTTATCACAGCAGTGGACGTGCTCATTTAAAAGGAGAATGAACACAGGTTGCAGACCCTTGCAAAATCACATGTAACCCGCTTCATTTAAATTTTTGTTAAAAATTGGAAATTGAGCCCAGACTTATCAAGAGGTTTGAGAAAGAAAAATGTCACACAAACTGCCAAGCGCTATACAGCTCTGACAGTTGGTTTGGTTTGTCTTGTAAATGAAAAATTTCTTTTTTTAACCACCCCCCAAACATTTATTGAAGCAATAAAACAAAAGGGAATACACAGCTTTCACTGAATATATCACTGGCTCTGTTTAAATCCAGGCTCTTGCTTCTGCCCCGCCTGTCCCTGCTATACCTCATTGCTTCACCACGTTTCCTTACCCTTTACTATCCCTCCGTGTTACCCTTGCTCCACCTCATCTCTCCCCACCATGCACCCAATGTCAATTTCCCCACCCGTGAACTAATGCACCCTCCCACTTCTACCCCCAGGCCTCACTCATCTACCTCAATCTCTCTTGTGCTGGTCCTCCCCGCCCCATTTACTGTCTCACTTACCCACTCCACAATTCCTGTGAACCCTCATTGTCTCATTTCCGACCTTATCTCTCTTATGCCCCTGTAATCCAAAGACTTCCCCAATAAAACCAGACTAACCCTCACCAATCTGTGTTCTTCAGGGAGATTGCCAAGAGAGAACATTGCTTCCACAATCCAACAAAGCAGGAATGTTCAGTGGAAGGGTAGCAGTCCTTTACCTTTACCACTTGTTCCACTTCCATGATTAGGGTCTTTGCCAAATGAAGGGAGCTGGGCTCCTGGTCTGCCTTTTCTAAGCAGGGCCTAGAGAAGCCCCATCTCCCAAAGGATGAAGTTTCCCTGTACTCAGGGGAGAGTCCCACCAAATATGGGCAAGATTTCCTTCTGGGCACAGGAAAAATCTGCCCAGGTGATGGGACTTACCTCAGCAGAGGGAAAAAAAGAACTAGATAAGTTCATGGAGGATAGGTCCATCAATGGCTATTAACCAGGATGGCCAGGGATGGTGTCTCTAGCCTCTGTTTGCCAGAAGCTGGGAATGGGTGACAGGGGATGGATCACTTGGTGATTACTTGTTCTGTTCATTTCCTCCGGAGCACCTGGCATTGGCCACTGTCGGAAGACAGGATACAAGGCTAGATGGACCTTTGGTCTGACCCAGTATGGCTGTTCTTATGTAACCCTCCCTATTATGGGAAGGGCTTTCCTAGGCTTTGCCTATAGAAAACAAGGACAGGATAACACTATTAGGGAAGATGGAAGGCTAATGACAGTACAGGCAAGAGTCAAAAAATTTTTGGTTGTCCTAACTGTGATTTTCCATGATTAGCAAAAATCTTGTCACTTTAAAGCAAAGTAGAGCCTTAATTTTGAATTTCCAAACTCTTAAAAGTTTAGGTTGTCTGTAAAGCTTTTCAAAAACTTAGCTCCATCTTAATTTTGTGTTTGTTTTGGAGTATAAAAAAGGTGATTGACCTGTAGTTAGTGTCTGTTATATGTTTTTCCTTTGTAGCAAACATTATAAAATTAATAAACACAAATGAAAAAACTAAAGATGTGCTCATTTACAGTCGTCATTAGTGGGTTCCTTTCGTGTTCAAACTGGAATTTCACACAGTCCTTCTTTCATACAAAACTGCTATGCTGATGCAATTTTCTTTAACTAAAATTTAAAAATTACATTACACAACAATTTAGGATAGAAGCTGTCACAGCTACTGGGTGAGCTACACTTTGGACCCCTTTGCAGTCCCTCTTGAGCAGTGTTTTTCAAACTTTTGTACTGGTGACCCCTTTCACATAGCTAGCCTCTGAGTGCAAACCCCCCCCCCCATAAATTAAAAACACTTTGTATATATTTAATACCATTATAAATGCTGGAGGCAAAGCAGGGTTTGGGGTGGAGGCTGACCGCTCGCAACCCCCTGAGGGGTCCCGACCCCCAGTTTGAGAACCCTTGCTCTTGAGTGTACCCCTCAGGTGGCAGGCTTCACCTCTCTCAGGGATGGAAACCTGCAGTTCAGCCATTCTTAGACTGGTTCTCTGGGTTGCAGTCCCCACTGTTTCCCAACCATGTTAACATGACAGGGCCAGCTCTAGTTGGACCTCCAGGAACATGACACCAGTGGCTGATTGAAATTATTCAAAACAGCTTCTTCTTCCAAACCAATGTATTGTTTATTTGGCCAAAGGCAAATGGCAATCAGAAAAAAAGGTTAAAGGCCTATTTGTCGGGTCCAAAAGCTTAATTATGAATTGCAAATGGAAGTAGATGTGGGAAGCTGATCTGGAAAAAAACAAGTCACGTGTTCCCTCAAAATGCTCATAAACAACTAATACCGATGAACTGAGCTAGTTTTAAAGCAAAGGCCTCTATCACTGGAGCTAAAGGAGAACTAGCTAGTGGCAGGAGTAGGTGTTTTAGTTTCTCTGTGGGGCAGTCACTGAAGGGTGACATCACACATGTGTCTGTGCACATTTTAAAGCCAGTACACTACACCTCCCCTGACTCACTAGGGATAGGTAATGCTCTGTTAAAATAATCTCCTCTGCTGTGTTTCCTGACACCTGAGACTGACTGGTATACTCTCCTCTGGGAAGTGAATCCAGGGGTATACAGAGAAATTCTTCTGTAATAGGCATCTCAATAGCAGGATCCAACTGTAACAAGATGATTTCTAAGAGGACTATCAAAACTGTTTACAGTGTCACTCCCCACGCTTTTAGGTTTGTGAATGTTCAGCGTCACAGCAGGGTAAAAATTCCCTGATGCTTCTGATGTATTATTTAATCAAAGCATGATTTTGAGGATGGCTCAAAGTTCAGCTACATCTGTCTATAATTAAATGTGACAGTTGACAAGGACAGCATGAAACCATTGATACATTTATTTCTATACTAGCAACACATTCTAAGAAAAAGGGGGAAATCTAACAGAAATTCAAAACCAAACAACTCAGAGCCACTAGATACATAAAAACAGAACATGAAATAAACACAGCAAAAGAAAAAACTAATATTAAATATGCAAACATACAAATGAATACATTTTGCATTTGTTCTCAGATGTATTAAATAATACTGATGGATGCCAATGCCAGGCTCTGGGTGCTCTCAATGCACACATACTGCATACAGTCTCTAGATATATTCATATAGACTGCCTAAAATTATCCACTAAGAAAACCAGTCATAATCACAGGATATGCAATTATCCCATCATCCACCAAAGCCCTGGAAAATAGATAGGCCTTGTAGCATGTCCAGAAGAATAATACATCCAGGATTGGGTGGACTAAGCTCAGAAGTGAATTCAAGAGTCAAGGAACATTCACAGAGAATCAGTTCCCTTTTTGTAACACTGTGGCCTTGTCTACACTACGGGGGGAGATCGATCTAAGTTACACAACTTCAGGTACGTGAATAAAGTAGCTGAAGTCGACGTACTTAGATCTACTTACCGCGGGGTCCACACACTAAGCTATGTCGACGGGAGCTGCTCTCCCGTCAACTCCCCTTGCACTTCTCATTCAGGTGAGGTACAGGAGTCGACTGTGATCTGCAGTCAATTTAGCAGGTCCTCACTAGACCCGCTAAATCGACCACCGATGTATTGATTGCCGTGTGTCGATCCCCGGGTAAGTGTAGACAAGCTCTGAGGCAGCTCCAGCTTACTCTCTATTTAAATAAATGAGGGAATAAACTCACTCATCGAAGCACACATCACTAAGGATCTGATTTTCATTTACAGTAAGGTTGCTTTACACTGCTTTGGTTATTTACACCCACTTTAAGGCCTTTTAACACTGCCCAGTGCTTAATTTGTAATAAAAGAGGTGCCAGGGCTCAAGCAATTAGGCGCTGGGGCTAAGGCAATTTTTTTTACTTTCATAACTGACGCTGCAAGCCCAGAGGTGCTGGGGCTCAGTCCTGGCAGGCCCTGGCACAAATTAAGCACTGACACTGCCAGAGTGGTATAAAGTGACTTTAGGCAAAGAAGAATCAGACCAAAAGTGTGACCTAGCGTAACACAGTCCATCTGGCTCGTCCCCTTCTCACAGACCTTCCTTTGCTAGTCTATAGGAGGATGTACCCACTCTGTGGAACTGATGGGCCAGACTCCACTCCTCCTGCAAGGAAGATCTCTCTGAATCCAGGTCGCCAATCATAAGCCCAGAATGACCCCTCCTGAGCTGTAGGCAAACACAGCTTCCCTCAGCAGTGTCTTGTCACAATAGCCATGCAGAGAATAGCCAGGAAGAAGTTGTAAAGGGTGGATCATAGCTTTATCCACAACCAGCTAATATGTTTTCAAACATGACTGTCCTTGTCCATGCTAATGGCACAATTGTACTTAACATCATGCTGTTTAAATTTGGTTAGTTAACATATTTGCTAAAATGATGCATTTTCCAGGTGTATACAAGGCCTTGAAGACAAGACATAGGTGAGGAATGTATGACAGTTGTACTCAGCAGCAAGGCTATGGAGATCCTCCAGTCCTTCCCACATAGCATGGGGGACCCTAAGCTAACTGAGTTTATTCTACTCATGGGGCTGAAGTATGAATCAAAGAGGAGCTCTGCTTCTGCTCTGCAGACCACAGGGAAGGATTCCTGGATGTCTTTCCCTCATACACGTCACCAATGCCTGGCCAAGTTATTCAGGCTGGGTCCTAAGCACAGAATTTGGTCCTCAGGAGATAAATCTGCTCACAGATCTACACAGCAAATCTCAGCTGATTTTCTGCGCTCCCTGGATGTGCAGAATGCCAGTAAAAGGGCTGCCATGATGGCCTTAAACCTGGTAGAGCTGCTCCCTGGAGGCTCTCTCATATGGAGATCATATGGATAGCAGAAAGCAGCCCTTACTGGTTTCTACAACTGACAGGAGGGAACCAGCCTAATTAAGGGCAGCTGCAGGATTGGGGTGGTGTGCAAAGGCCATCTTTGTGTCCCTCTCCTCAGCTCTGACAAGTGCTACTCATCCATAGTTGGGGACCTGGCCATTTAAATTAATAGATTTCTTTATGCATGGGATAAATTCAATCCCAGATCAATAGAACTCAGATCTCAGCTGTAAGGTAAGTAAACATCATATGTAAAGCCACTCTTTGGTCTGCTAACTTATCCGATACAATCCGGTTACTCAACCACAAGTAGTTCTGGGTTGGAGTCATCCTATGACTGACAGTGATTTATGTTCCTTTGAAGGATGAAGATTCGGATCCATGTGTTATTTGTCATGATGATCTTCATACTGGCAGTATAATAGAACTTCACTGCATGCACAGCTTTCACAAAGAGGTACTGCAAGAAACTCGGGGGGCCCTATTTCCCGTCAGTTACAGTTTACTTGGAAGAGGAAGGATTCCATATATGACCTTCCATGACAGCAACTAGACTTTGACTGAGCCCCTTATGCTGGTGGTTGAGATGGGGCGGTGGGGAGGTGGGGGGGTGTAGAAGCTGCTGCACTACTTGATGCTCCTCCTACACGGGATGAATTCCCCAGTGCCCAGCTAAGCTGCCTCCATGACAGCTTTGTACTAGAGGAGAGTAACAAAAACTGCCCTAATGCAGGGCCGGATCAGAACCTCTGTATCCAGTGTGTATTTGTTCCTGATATCAATTGGTTGAAAAATAATTATAGCAAAAGAATGGAATCTGGATGTCTCCGCGGAATTGATACTGGGATAGGGATGAGAGGGTTTAACTTCTAGGCTCTAGTTCAAATCTGGCCCAGGACAGAAGTGGCCAAGCATTGCTATAAATGTTTCATGCTTGGTGTGAAAGAGTTTGGTGGGTTTGGTACAATCTTCAGTGGACAGCTGATCACATGGCAACAACCAGTAGCAAAAATGGCACTCTTATTGGCACACTCAGCAAAGTGACCAAGGATCAAATTAGCCATAGAAAATGTATCATGTCCCTAGAAATGATCTCCCAAGGTGATGCTTTAGGCATAATGGTTGGGAAGCTTGATACTGCTGCTTATACCTCTTCTGTGGATAAACACAGGACCTTAGTCTCAAGAACTGTCAATCTAGCACTAAATTAACTAACTAACTAACTAAAGAGAGAGAGAGAGAGAGATCTTATACTCCTGAAAAATTAAAATTGGATCTGATCCTGATCCTATTGAAGTCAATTCAATGAAAGCAGAATTGAGTCCAATAACAGCATTCATAGAGGAACTCATGGAGAATGGGTGAGATCATGGAGGACCGGAGAAGGGGACCCGGGGAATTATAGACCAGTCAGTATAACTTGGATAACTGGAAAGATACTGGAAAAAAATATTAAACAAACAATTTGTAAACACCTAGAGGATAATACGGTTGCAAGGGATAGCCAACATGGATTTGTCAAGAATAAATCATGCCAAATAAACCTTATTTCCTTCTTTGATAGGGTTACTGGCCTAGTGGATGGGGGGAAGCAGTAGCCAGAATATATCTTGATTTTCATAATGCTTTTGACACAATCCCACCTGACATTCTCGTAAGCAAACTATGGAAATGTGATCTAGATGAAATTACTATAAGGTGGGTGAACAACTGGTTGAAAGACCCTACTCAAAGAGTAGTTATTGATAGTTCACTGTCAAGCAGGGAGGATGTATCTAGTAGGGTCCTGCAGGGGTGAGTCCTGGGTCCAATGCTATTCAATATTTTCGTGAATGACTTGGATAATGGAGTGGATAATATGCTTATAAAATTTGCAAGATGACATCAAGTTGGGAGGAGTTGCATGCACTTTGGAGGACAAGATTAGAATTCAAAATGATCTTGAGAAATTGGAGAATTGGTCTGAAATCAAGTAGACAAAATTCAACAAAGTTAAGTGTAAAATACTATACTTAGGAAGGAAAAATCAAATGCACAACTACAAAATGGGGAATAACTGGATAGGTGATAGTACTGTTGGGGGTTATAGCAGATGTCAAACTGAACATGGGTCAACAACATGATGCTGTTGCAAAAAAGGCTAATATCATTCTGGGGTGTACTGACAGGAGTGTCATATGTAAGATATAGGAAATAATTGTTTCATTCTACTAGGCACTGGTGAGGCCTCAGCTGGAGTATTGTGTCCAAGTCTGTCTGTCACACTTTAGGAAAGATGTGCATAAATTGAAGAGAATCCAGCGGAGAGCAAGAAAAATGTTAAAAGATTTAAAAAGCCTCACTTCTGAGGGAAGGTTAAAAAAACTGGGCATGTTTAGTTTTGAGAAAAGAAAACTGAGAGGGGATCCTGATAGCAGTCTTCAAATATGTTAAGCGCTGTTGTAAAGAGGACAGTGATAAATTGTTCTCCATGTCCACTAAAGGTAGGACTTAATCTGCAGCAAGAGAGATAGATATTAGATATTAGGAAAAACTTTCTAACTATAAGGATAGTTAAGCTCTGGAATAGGCTTCCGAAAGAGATTGTGGAATCCCCATCACTGGAGGTTTTTAAGAACAGGTTGGACAAACATCTGTCAGGGATGGTCTAGGTTTAGTTGGTCCTGCCTTATTGCAGGGGCTGGACTTGATAAACTCTTGAGGTCTCTTCCAGTCCTATATTCTATGATTCACTGAATACATGGGTTTTATGCTGCATTTTAAAAAAAGGTTAGATCAAAGCTTTGGTCATATATGGGAATTTACCAATCATCCCTCTCAAAAATCCTGGTAGTTGACTGTCAATGCAACAAGTTTGGATTGCTAACTTTCTTTTCCCCATATTCTTTTCCTCCAACAGTGTATCGAAAAGTGGCTGCTAAAGAAACCAACCTGCCCAACTTGTCGCATCCACGTGCTCATGTCAAAGTCTATTTTAGACCTTCATCAACCAGGATGAAAAGAGAGCTCAGAAGGACTCCATAGAGGACTCATTACAAAGCTCCATTTCACTTAGAGAAGAAAAAACAAAAAAGAATGGTCATGCCTTAGATCACAGGGTACAAGGTAGTTATAACAAGTATAGCTTTTTTTAATGTTAGAAATCAACTTTAAAGATCAAAAATGACTAAATGAAAACCAACTAACACATTCTGCCTGTGCATGCCACTGCAACATGCCAATGTTTGTGGGAAAAGAGTGAAAAAATATTTGTTTTTACCATTGTACAGACAACTGTAAATAAAAATCACATATTTGCTACAAAAAGAAATAATTTAATGGTGAATTTCACTCATTTTTGTTAAATAGCTGGATGATATGATTATTGTGCAATAGAGGGAACTCTTTAGTCCATATTGAGAGAATTAAGTGATACACTGGCATGAAGTTAAAAATTAATTACAGTGCCACTGAGAGACTCTGGATTGACAGATACTACAATGAAAGCTGGAGCAGTGATGCTGTAATCTTCCCTTTTCTTCTAAACTTTCCCTACACTATTCTTTTTAATCTCACTGTATTAATCCTATTCATCTTTTGAGTTCTAGGTTCCCATGCCTGTTATGAAAGTCAGTTGACTAGTTGGTTGATCAGATCATAGCGCCCTGGACCGGTTGAAGGACTAATTTTAAAAAAAATTGCTTATGCAAAAGACAGTTCAAGAAGACATATCAACCGAATGTAATTCCACTAGCAGTGTTTAAATAATGGCAGATTTAGTGATACACAATGAGAAAGGGCAGGAAACGATTGCAACTATAATCATACGCAATTCAAATCTAAGGCTGACTCTCATCTCATGCATCCCATAAAGTCAAATTCTGCCCTTGAATGTGCATGCAGGAGTCTCACTGGTGTGGATGGGAGCAGCACATGTGTCACAGGGCAGAATTTGGCCTGTTGCTTAGGGATTGCAGCATATATTGAGTTGGTCAATAGGGGATATTGCTGGTATGTCTAGAACTGTCCTCCATCTATATTCTCTAGTCACTAAGGGCACGTCTTCACTACCCGCCGATCCGGCGGGTAGCGATCGATCTATCGGGGATCGATTTATCGCGTCTAGTGTAGACGCGATAAAATCGATCCCCGATTGCTCTGCCGTCGACTCCGGAACTCCACCGCAGCGAGAGGCGGAAGCGGAGTCGACGGGGAAGCAGCAGCGGTCGACTCGCCGCCGTCCTCACAGCCAGGTAAGTCGACCTAAAATACGCAACTTCAGCTACGCTATTCGCGTAGCTGAAGTTGCGTATCTTAGGTCGACCCCCCCCCCCGTAGTGTAGACCTAGCCTAAATCATTATGTGAAGCAATTCCCAAGCTATACATCAAATCCCATAGGCCAAATTCTTCCATATCATCACTGATAGACTTGAAATATGGCATTCCCCAAGAATCAGCCCTATTTTCCATGTTGTTTAATGTACTCTCTATATGAGGCCTTCTGGGAAGATTGTTCCTAGAGACAGGGCAGAACATCATCAGGAGACTGATAGTATACATCTTCTCCCAGGGTCATTGCACATTTGGTCTCTACTCTGAAAGAATCTTTGAAAGGGTACAGAAATGGTGTCTGATCCTAGAGGTATCTTATTGAGAATAGGGAATATTTCTTTTCCGAGATAACAGGTTTTCTTCAACAAATACAGAAGAACCTCAATTTTATGAACACCAATCATAAACAATTTTTCCAGACAGGAAAAAAAAATCACAAAACAAAAGTTATGTTGATGAAGAATAAGTCAACATCCCTTCACATTCCTATCCCCTCAGTGCATTAAACATCGCTTTGCCGTGGGTTGAAGGACAAGAAGAAAGTGAGGCATGCACCACACTGCAACTTATGCACCATACTTTTTGTAATCTTGAGATGTTCAAATTTATAAACGTTTTTATTTTATGAACTCTTCAGTCCCCAATTTGTTTGTAAAATAGGGGTTCTATTGTACATCTTCAGAAGCAGTTGTTCCTTAAAGCCATCTGCCTTAGCAACACCTTTAAGAAAGAAGAACATTTTCCTACCTGACGATCTAAGTTGAGTATCTGTTGCTTAGTAGATCTATCCATGATTTGTATGAGAGGCTCACAGTTCTTCTTGTCTTATCAGTCAGGTAGATGGACATTTGGAACTCTGATTTCACTCCACCATCATTTACAGAAAAACTTCATTGCTCATGGTCTCTGGTCAAAATATCCTCTCTTAAGAACTAAACACAACAGGCTATTTGTTGTTGTTGTTGTTGTTCTCTAAAAATACAATAGTTGAAAATCAGAAAAGCTCTTCATAAATTTCAAAACATCTCAATTTATGAGAATATGAGAGTGAACTTCCACTCCCTTGCTTAGTCTGTCACCATTAATATATTTCAGAGAAAATCTTGGGAAATTAAGTTACACTGCACATTAGAACCTTGATTCTGCAAACTCTTGGACACATTCTTAACTTTGCTACCTTGAGTAGTTCCTGTGAGTAATTGTTTGCAGGATTGGGGCCTATGCTAATATTTTTTTCTGTCAAATAAAGTAACAAATCTCTTAAGCAACAAATAGGAGCAAATGGGCAGGTAATACAGTTAACTTTCTTAAAAGACATAATTTAAAAAAGAAATTAGCAACGTGGAAATCAAAATAAAACAAAAATGGTGGAATAAATTTGATAATGCATCTTTACTTATTTCAGATAGTTTACAGAAGGAGTGTTACCTGGGAGTTGGAGCAGGGACTGAGCATCAGGAGTCATGGCTTTTATTCCTAGCTCTGCCACTGACCAGCTGAATGACTTTGGTCTGGTCATTTAATCTCTCTGGGCCTATTTAGACAATCTGTAAAATGAGCACTAGTCATTACCTGTTATTCCAGGGCATTGCAAGGTTTAAAATTCCATCACCAAACTTTGTTAACCAGAAGACATGCTGAAAAAACTAAGCTGTTATAGCACCAGTGATAAAGGTCATACGGTGTTGCATCGGCTGGATTGTTTCATCACTGGTGATGTCATAAGACAATGAAGTTCATTCTTCTCTGTAGTATGGCTATAGATATTTCTTTACTGGTAGAAAAATTTATTTCTTTTATATCATTAGATGTAGAAAACCCAATTTTGTCCTTAGATGCAGAAATGCAACTTCGGAAGCAGTAGTTCCCAAAAAGTTGGTCTATCCCCTTTCCTTTAAGAAAGAGGATCATTTTTTACCCAAGTTGTGTCACTGAGCAGGTGCATCCATCCATAGTAGAGGGTCACAGTATGAGTGGACTGTAGACAAAGTGAATAACTTGTGTACTTATTTCCTTGCTTTTTCCAGTGAGCATTGGTGGGATATGTAGCCAAGCCACATTAACTTATACTTAATGGATGGTTTTTGTTGTTGTTGTTGTTTTTTTTTTGAGAGGGGGCGGGGATTTCTCAATTTTCTTAATAAGTATCTACATTGACAATTATTCATATGGAACAGCTGTCAACATTGAAATAGATAGATAAGATTAGATACCCCATACATCTCTCAAGCCCCCTCTCTGCTTTGCCTGCTGGCACCCCACACACTTGCACTACTACTCCAATTGCCTCCATGTTTCCCTGCACAATCCTGCTTCCCTTATCTTCCTCATTTTTTCACTTCAAAACATGCTCCCACCATAGGTCCTACCATTCCTCCTATTTCCCTGCCATGCTGTATTCTTAAACTGCTGCTTAAACTCCTGAATTTTAGTTACCTAATACAGTATTTTCCTGTGTATCCCTGTGTACATGACTCGGTGTTGATACATACTAACACAGAGACAGAGGAAAATGCTGAAACAACTAAATTTGCAAAGGGGGGTATATAGTAGAGAGAAGGAACTGTGTGGAGGGTGGATAGTAACATGCTGGCAGTGTGCCTAACATACCCACCCTGTCAGCAGTGACTTTAATTCTGGAAAAGAAAGAGTTAAGTGAGTTAGCATTGACTCGCTGTTGCAGAATAAACTGAGACTTGGATAGACTGGCCTGCTTTCAGGAGATAATCTGTTGCAAACACCAGCTCTGTTTTGGTTGGGAGGAAGTTGAAGTGTGACTGAGCCTGGGGAGCAGCTTGGCTGGAGAGATCCTGTGAGGAACCCAGGTCTTAGGGTGGCTTGTCTGTGGGAAATGGTTCCAGTGAGGTCAGAATCAAGGAGAGGTAAATATGTGAGAGGTTGCGGTGTCCAGTGTGAACAGAGGAGAACCTGTGAGGAATGACTTTGGGTAGGGCTTGTTTGAAGTGTGGTGGGTGTGATGGGTTGGATCACAGAAAACCCCTTGGGAACTGCCAACTGATGTGTTGAGACTACTTCTGAGCCGTTTCCCCTGCCAGCTTGGGACTTCAGAACACTGCCTGGTTTAAGCCAGGCACGCTAGCCTGCTGCAAACCCAGGCCCAGGTCTGAACAACGTCCCCCCAAACTACAGGCTTAACTGAAAACAGCTTAAGAGGTGTTCCTGTCTCCAACACTCGGATGCCCAACTCCCAATGGGGTCCAAACCCCAAATAAATCCTTTTTACCCTGTATAAAGCTTATACAGGGATAAACTCATAAATTGTTCGCCCTCTATAACACTGATAGAGAGATATGCACAGCTGTTCCTCCCCTCCCCCCCTAGTAATACATACTCTGGATTAATTAATAAGTAAAAAGTAATTTTATTACATACAGGAAGTAGGATTTAAGTGGTTCCAAGTAATAACAGACAGAACAAAGTGAATTACCAAGCAAAATAAAATAAAACACGTAAGCCTATGCCTAATACAGTAAGAAACTGAATACAGATAAAATCTCACTCTCAGAAATGTTCCAATAAGCCTCTTTTACAGACTAGCCTCCTTCTAGTCTGGGTCCAGCAATCACTCACACCCCTGTGGTTACTGTCCTTTGTTCCAGTTTCTTTCAGGTATCCTTTGGGGGTGGAGAGGCTATCTCTTGAGCCAGCTGAAGACAAAATAGAGG